CTTAATTCAATGAGAAGAAAGAGGTGTACTAACGGTGTTTGAGCAGAATATTCTGTCTGCTTCTTGTACTATGGATAACCACCTAAGAAGATAATAATGTACAATGTATTGATTATCAAAACTGTCCTATTAATCAGCCAAAATAAAAAATAAACATGTTTTGCATCTGTTTTGAAAAAAGAAAAGAAAATTTGACCAATTAATTAATATTTATAATCCCTTTAAATCCTAAATAGGGGGGCCAGGGAGATGGCTCAGTAGAATAAGTGCTTGTCTGGCAAAGCACAACGGTCTGAGTTCAATCCTCAGTTCCTCAAAAAATAAATAAATAAATAAATAAATAAATAAAGCCTAAAAAGGAAGCCATTGATTCTATAATAGATTGGGTACAAGGTAAGGGCAGGATCAAAGGACAGTGAATAAGTCAATGTGGAAGAGAATCACTTAATTGTTCCTAGTTTTAAGAGCTATTCAGAACCCCCAAGGGACTGAAGAAACAAGCAAGCTCAAGGCTTGGAATTTTACTTCCCAGAACTAGATCAGGACCACATATGTAAGCTGGAAAAAGGGAAGAAGGGGAGTTACCTCACCCAGAGGCAGTGATATTGCATCAACCAATCCTTGCATGCTGCAGCTTCCTCGTGCATCTGCCTGGAACCAGTCACAGAGTATTTCCTGCTGAACCTGAGCGACTCCTCCAATCCACCTCAGCCCCTCAAAATCTTTCCTTCTGGGACTTCCCCAGAAATGAACTCTTACAAGAAGGTATAAAAAGAACAGCTGCTCCAGGCAGAGCGACTCCCCTGGCGACCACAGGAGGCTAAGGCACTTGGCAGGTAAGACTTATCAGCAGTAATCTTTCCTGGCTTCTGCAAACTGAGCGGTGAAACCTCCTAACTGCTTCTCAGAAATCTTAGTACTTGACAGAAATCTTAGTACTCTGCTTCTTGGCACCAGATTTGGCTACCACGTGACAAATCTTCTCTGTATAGGGCAAGAGAAAATGGGGCTAAATCCACTGCCAGGCAAGAAGGCTTGTGCATTTCTGAAAACTAAGTCAAAAAATGATAAACTTTTGGGGGCTAGAATCTGCCATAGTTCTCTTCTATCCATCCCTCTTTTCAACTGAGGCCTCACACAGGTGTTCGTTGTCACTCAGAAAGCTGGGGAAAACAGTAACAGAATGGTTCTCCTTGCATCATTCTTGATACTGGTATAAAATAATCTGACCTCTTTACAATACTGTGGAGCTTTTGTAGTGCTTTTAGGGTTTCCTAAGGCAGGGCTCACAGATAGTCATTTCATCTGCAATGGATCTCAACTGTCTATTCCCAGGGTCTCAAATGCCCTATCTACACTGGCTCTCAGTCAAGTGCATGTACTTTGGTACTAGAAGGGCTGCATTTTGAGAGAGCGGAGGGACTGAATCCTACTGCTTTTTATGCAGCTGGATGCATTTGGTATGCACCCAACACCTTCCTTCAGCTGAGAAGATTTTTTTTCTTCTATAGAAGGGTTGGTGAGAGCCATTGAGGATATAAAAGGAAAACAAGCTCAAGCTCAGGTCAGTTTCTAGAATATTTTCAGACATGAGGTAGGTAAGGATTTCTGCAAGCAATGTTGCAACAGCAGTTAGCATCTGGGAGCCCTTTAATCCTATTCTGACAGTGTCCACCTTGGAGACAGCACCAGATACCACAGGATGGGGCTCAGTCCCAAAGATCACCCTCCCTTTGGATGCTAGCCAGAAGCCCCAAGTGGCCTTACCTGTGCTCCTGACCAACCACCTACAATAGGGTTTCCCCAACCCCCATGCCAAGGTTGACTAATTTGCTACAGTTGTTCACAAAATTTGGGGAACTGCTTGTGACCCCAGGACTCTGGGAGGCTGAAGCAAGAGGATCACAAGTTCAAGCCCAGCCTGGGCAATTTAGCAACTTAGTGAGACTATGTCACAAAATTTTAAGAAGGGCTGAGGCAGTAGCTCAGTGTGAAGGCCCTGGGTTCAATCTCCAGTACTGGAGAAAAAACTATATCAAATCAGGGAACCACCTACTTATGTTTATCAGTTCACTACAGAGAATATTACAAAGAATACAGATGAAGAGGTTCATAGGTCGAGGTATGAAGGAAGGAGTTTGGGGCACCTGCACCCTCCAGGGTCACGCCATCCTTCCAGAGCATTCAGCTCTCCTTGTGGGGTTTCATGGAGATTTTATTACAGCCATGAAGAGCTAACGCTGACGGACGGAGCGGGGAAACCCAGCCCCGCCTGTCTGTTCAGGTTCCTCTTGGGCTTTCTGTGCAGCATTCCTTCCTCCCAGACACAGGGCATGGTCCTGTCTGAAATGGGAATCTTGTGATTTACTATCAGGCAAGGTTGACCTGAGAATATCATTACAGCTACTCTAAGGCAGAGAGCAGTTTGGAGTTTCTATGGTTTCCTTTGGGCAAGAGAAATTGTAGTTTGAAGGTCTAATTTAGGGAAGGAATTTTAAGCCAGGAACTTAGTGGGGGATATATATA